CAATGGGTGTTCAGCGGTTTCCTTCAGGTGTTTTATTGTTATTTCTGTAATTTAAACCCTTTTCTATGGTCTCCATAAATAGTTTTCCTAGTTCCTTAATTCCTTCTATCATTTCCCCCTGTACCTCTGCAATGCTTTCCTTTATCCACTGAAGACAAATCCAATGGTAAAATTAACTAATTCAAATTTCTGCTAAATTACGTAACTCATATTTTTAATAATTTTCCGAGTTTTTTAATATTCAAAATTATTTAAGAAAGGAAATATGTAATCCTTTTTTGGGGAAAGCAATTTGTTATCCGATACCTAGCAATGCTGAACGTGAATTGCCACTCATATTATTTTGTGAATAATTACACTGCTACAATGAATAAATTATTTAGAGCGGACCACTATTGCATATAGCTGCCATACAAACTTACCGATTAAAATCAAGTTATCGAAGCTTTTGTATTTGTGAAGGGTGCAACCGAGATTAAGCTTTTTTCTTCTTTTGTTGGACAATGTTCCAATAACAACAACTACCTTTCTGATGACGAAGATTTTTAATTTTTACTTTTTTTCAAATATATTTTGTAGATTTATAAAATTCTGAACTTATATTTTACAGCAAAGCGAATCTACTAAAAATTTAAATCGAGAGAAACACATAAACACGGAATTGCAAGATGAAGTGAGCAGCCTCAAATCACAAATAAGCAAAATAAAAGAAGAACTTGAAAAAAGTGAAAAGATCAGCACAGAAAAACTTGCGTTAGCAACAGAAATCGAAACGGTGTCGCAGGATTTTCAAAAGCTTCAACGGGAACACGAGAAATTAAGAAAGGAATATGAAAGATTTTCCGACAATAAAAATAGCGAAATTGCGGAATTAACAGTTAAAACCGTGCAATTGCAAACCGAATCAGTGGCATTGCTTGAAAGTCAATTGAAGATGGCTGAACTTGAAGGAAAACTCAATACAATGAATGATACTTTCACTAAAACACAAATGGACCACCGTGTTATGGTAGAAGAATTAAAGAGGGAATTAGAAAATAAAAAGGACAATATAAGTGAGCTACACGCAAGACACGAAAGGGAGTTAAAGGAAAAAGTTAACAAAATCAAAGAACTTGAGTCGGATTTAAATAACGTAGAACAAAATTTGAAGGTGTGTATGAATGAATATGCAATTTTTTTGCTATGAATATAAAAGTACAGTATAGTAGTAAATAATTAACGGTGATCCATTTGGAGGTTTCCTACTTAAAAAAACAGAAACTTCAAATTTAGTGGGGAATGTTTATTGTCATTCGAAAGTACATTATTTTGCATTTATTTTTAGAAAATTATCCATTTCAAATGTTAACCATAGTCAACATGGTCTCAGATGGTTCATTGGTTCAGTAAAATTTTCGACGACTCGTTGTTGTTGTCTTCAATGGGTCGTTCGAACATTTCGACTGGCAACCGGCGAATGACACGTGGGAAGTTTCTCTCCAAGTTCTGAATCGAAGCGGAATTGCCCGCATAGGCTTTAGGCTTTACAACGTCTAGCTTCAATTTCAGCCATTAAATAGTCGCTTATCATGGCGCGATAACGGTCGCCATCATTTTTGAAGAAATCGACACCAACTTCCACGGCCTTCCTGTGCACTCTCAGCTACGACTGTTGTATATTAGCTACTGGACGTAGTACGCTCAGTAGAGATGAGTACGCTCAGTATTCGTTTATTTTGACCATAAGTTGAGCAAATCGTGCGAAACAGATTCTATACAGAGCGTAGATTTTGATAATAAAGTTGAATGCTTTATAAACTTTGTTCAGACGTTAGTCTTTCCATGATGAAATGTCAAGCAATACTGAAAAAAAATAATATGACATCCTGACACTACTCACGGCTGTTGAAAAAAGCACCTTTTCTTGGATCACCCGATATACAATATATTCGAATCATACCTTGAGTGTACAGAAACAGAACGGACGGGGATTTATAAAGTTCCTCAAAGCTAATTTAGGATTTTTACTACTATTAAAATAACTACCATTTTATATTTATAATGCCTTCAATTCTGTCACTATTAATTTCAGGAAAATGAAATATTTGTAGCAAACCTTGAAATAAAGCAACGAGCAAACATCGAAAAACTACAAGAATACCAAGAACAAAAAAGCAATTTGGAAGCCAAATTAATCGCAGCCAGTACGGCGATAGAAACGGAAGTTGAAGCAAGACGAGAAAGCGAAAGGAAGTATGAAGTTAAACTTAATTCGCTATATCAAAAAGTATTAAATACCATCGAAGTCGCAACCGAGGCAAAAGTCAACGAAGCGAATCAGCCAAATTTCGATAAGACAATAAAATTGGTAGGTGATATGGAAAAAATACTGGAGCAAACGAGCAACATTTATGGAAAGTTTGTTGAGAATAAACAACATATTGACGATGTCACACAGCTGACAATATTTTTGGGTTGTGTATTTATAATGCTACATGAACAGTGCCTATTGATATATAACACAACCACCGATATAGGCAAAGGAGAAGGCAAGAAAAAATAAAGACTAAATGCGCAACATATTTAGTAATTAATATAAATTATTTTATATTTCAGATATTTACAATCAGATCAATAGCGTTAAAGACCCGTTGCTCACGCTCTTCCAACAAATTAAAACTGTCGAAGATATAACAAAAACAAAACATTCCATTGCGGAAACAAAGCAAAAACTAAGTGCGTTAAAAAAATCAGTGGCCGAACTCAATAAATCGAGCAGTAATCATGTGGAGTTGGGTGATTTAGTAGAAAATGAGTTAGCCGAAATGGACAAGGCCATCGAGGAAGCTGCTGAGAAATTTGTAGACCTACTCTCAAGTGCACGATCCAAAGATGAGGGTATAAAATTAGAAGTGAACGAGAAAATTCTTGACGCTTGCACTTTCCTTATGAAATGCATTAAGTTGTTAATAAGAAAGGCTAAGGCTTTGCAAGAGGAAATTGTGTCGGCCGGAAGAGGTGAGTTCGTATTATAGAAAAATGTGTCCAATTTCTAGTCGAAGTAATGTTGAGTACCTCTGTGCAACTTGCTGTGTTGCCTTATGAAACCTTTTAATAACTTTTACTATAACCTCAAAATTATTGAAGTGTTTCCTTAAGTGAGTATAGCTAATTTTGTGTGCTCAACTAAAAAAACCTGTAATTAAAAATTGCAGTTAGCATAAATAATCATAGTTTGTTTTTTTCAAAAGAAAAAAGTCGTCCTAGTATATTTGACTAAATTATTAAATTGAAAAATCACTATTTGCCACAAAAAATTTAAATAATCTACTACATGGGTTTAGAACGAATGTATTTAAATTAAATCTTGAAATATTTGAAAGAGAAATTTTTATGAAATTTTGACGATTGGAATTAAGTTTTTATTTATTTATTTTAAAATTATATCACTGTTATTTATATTTATTATTTTTTTATTATTAATAATTTTCATATTTGTTGGTTTTGTTATACAATTTTTTATTAAAATTATCAATTTATCAATTAGCCAAATATTTTCCAAGCTCAAGATTTTTAACTGAAACCGTATTTTTGGGACACAAATATAAATCAACGTGTCAGCAATAAAACAATTTTTGGTCATAATGAAATTATAAATAATATAAATATATGTGACCTGGTCTACGGAAAGGGGGCTTAGGTGTCAAAAAGTCAATTTTCACTTTTGAAACTGGCGAAACGAGTTGTTTATTTTTAACAGCTGTTTCCCAGAAAACTAGTTTTCGCACGTTAGCTCCCTTTTCGTAGATCAGGTCACATATACTTATTTTTCCATAATTTGATATGGGTCATTGTCCTAAGCAACGGTAAAATCTACTTTCAGAGCAACGTTTTTTTGTTATAATTTTTTTTATTTATAATTGGTTTTATTATGAAAATTTTTAGTAATTTTATCCTTTTATTTTTCATACAAATTTAAGGCATGTATTGTTCAAATTCAAAATTTACAACTGAAAACGAAAATTTTGGAACATAAATTTAACGTACTCAGCAATACTAAAAAAATTTCGTTATTATAAATATACATCTTCCCATAGGCACCACCTCGATTAAGGAATTCTACAAACGTAATAGCCAATGGACGGAGGGTCTGATATCGGCCTCAAAGAGTGTTGCAAAAGGTGCTAATCTGCTCGTCGAAGCCGCTAACAAAGCCATTGTTTCGGAGTCAACACAAAACTTTGAATTAATCGTTGCTGCGCAAGAAATCGCCGCCTGCACTGCTCAATTGGTCATCGCAAGCAAAGTTAAAGCGCCCAAGGAGAGTCAAAAGCTCGGCGATTTAACAAAAGCTTCGCGGGATGTATCACAAGCGACAGGACAAGTCGTTGCTACCGTCAAGGATTGTAATCAGTCACTGGAACAGCTGCAAGAGGTGGACTTCACGAAATTAACATCGTCACAAGCAAAAACCATGGAAATGGAGATACATGTCAAAGTTTTGGAACTGGAGCAAGCACTGCAAATGCAACGTTTGAAATTGGCGTCTTTTCGACGCAAGCATTACCAAAATTCTGACGATTAAATTTAAATGATTTATGTATATATGCGTTTCTTTTTTATCTACTTTTGACAATTAGATTAAGTTGTACAGAATTGTTTATTATACTACTATCGTATACGTTAAAACAAAATATATTAAATCAAAGAGAAACAAATATACTTTTGTGTGATGGAGCTAAGTGAAAGAAATCGAACCAAATTATACATTGACAATATTGTGTCGCATATGAAAGTGTTTTGCCGTTTAATTTATTTATACAACATACTTACTTACAATCATATACAGAATCTTTGTTTTCATTCATACTAAAAGTGTATAATGCAGTAGGCACTCATTAGAATACGTTATAACCACATATTTATTATAAAATAGAACACGTTTTTATTATCATAATTACTTTCATGTTATTTCATATACATGTATATATCAGTTTATTTATTCAAGCAGAAAAATCTTAATTTGCGTGAACAAACTTTATTAAGGAATGAGTAAATAAATATTTTGTATGGTTACTTGTGTAGAAAAACTTAAAATATTTTTTTATTATTTTTTTTTTTGGTGAGCTTGTGTAGCACACGTTGCTGACCAGCCATCACCGCCAAACCCTTTAAGGCTTGTGACCCTTCTGAAATTAAAGAAAATATAATATTTATTTAGAAATTAGATAGAGTACATAAGCACTATACTATATATTAGTTTTACTCTTATACAATTAGGGTACTTATTCATATAAATAAGGGAATTAAATTAAGTTAATATTCATGTATTTTACAAATTACAAAATATTGCTGATATTTCTTAAAACTGCTTTTAGATTATAGATAGTTTTTAGTTTTAGACTAGTTTTATTCCAATGTTCGTTAACCCATGTAACTCCTTACTAAGTTGAAGATAAGATTAAATAATTACATAAGCGTTCAAAGCACTTAATCTGTCTCTCTGTATATGAGACATGATTATACTTTTTAGAATAATAACCAGAAGATTTTTAATTAATTTTTCAATTCAATATAAAGCATATTTTAATAACATCATAGTCTAGACATTGTATGCTTCACTTTTTTGCTTGATTTACATTTTCATTAAAACAAAAAAACATTAATTAATTCAGTATAACTAATTATTTTTTGAAAATTATTAGAAAGTACAAAATGAAACCACTCAATACATGATGCGTCCCAAAGTAAACAGCACTTTTTGAATCTAGCGCCCTCTGGTGATGCCATTTATATGTCGACTTAGAATCTGCTATCTTTATCGATTGTCCAATGAGAATTTTTAAGTGTCAGAAAATTTTTTTATCGAACAAAGAGTCAACATTAAATTTTGTTTTAAAATTGGTAAAACTTTTACCGAAACGTTTCAAATGATGAAACAAGTTTATGCCGATGATTGCCTATCCCGTAGCAGAGTGCACGAGTGGTTTCAACGTTTTCAAAGTAATCATGAGGACATAAATGACGATCAACATGTGGCCAATCAAAATCCGTGATCACCGGAAATTCCATCAAAACTGTGCGTGAATTCATCAAAAATCAACCGAAATCATCATTGAAATTCATGGAAATGGAATTAAACATTTTCAAAACATCGATTTATTGCATTTTGACCGAACATTTGGGCTAACGAAAGGTGTGTGCACGGTTTGTTCCGCACAAATGAACTGACGACCAAAAATTGCTCAGAATCCAACATTCGGTTCGACGTTTATAATCGATTATTTGACCAAATATCACATTTTAACCATTAACCACTCGCCATATTCACCTGATGTAATATCTTTTCGGAAAAAAGAGTCCTTTCAAAAGTCTTCGACATGTTTTTGGACCGTGCAAAAAGCTGTATTGAAGCCGAAGGAGACTATTTATAATAAAACAAATTGATTTTGCTGAAAAAAACATTTGTTCTGTTTTTTTTAAGACCTGTTTACTTTGGAACGCATCTTGTATATCAGAACCTGCTCAGTATTTCGGAAGAAACTTCGCGTGCAGTCAAGCAAAGCTTTCAGGTATTAGTAGGCCAAAACATAATATATAATCTATCTTTTATCTATATATATAAAAATTAATTTCTGTTCGTTAGTCTCCAGCCAATCAACATTCACACACAATCATTACATTACAATCACTCACTGTGGTCGAAGGCGGATGTCAGAGTCCGCGAGAGAGGGACAGATAAAGAAAATAGTCGTATTGCTGTCCGAATTGCGTTCTGACAGTGAAGTAGATAGGCTTAGACTACAAAGATATCGCGCCTATCAAACAACAGCGACCTCGATTAATGAAATTGAGCCATTCCGCAGACGCAGTGCTCCTGTAATCCTGGAACCAGCTGCATTTCACTATGATCCGACGCTACGACCCTTTGATAGAAGCTGTGAACAGTGGATCTGGTAAAATTTATTTCTTCATGCCCCGGAGGAACTGAAAAAACGTTCTAAATTTTATTGCTTTTTGCGAGAATTAGATCGCGAACTGCACATTCTGTCTTAAAATTACTATTAAATATGCAAACCACTGAAACACCAATTTGCAGCATCGCCAAAAAAAAGCGCAATAGCCAAGATCCTACAAGCATGCAAATTGATTGTTTGGGATCAATGCGCAATTGCCCATAAAAGGTCACTGGGGGCACTGGTAATTTTCGTCAGACTATTCCCCCATCAACTGTTGCTGACGAACTAAATGCATGCCAAAAGTAATCGAATTTGTGGCAGTACGTAAAGACACTCCAATGAACATCTAAGTTAGGAGTAATTTTGCAACAAAGTGAAACTGCAAATGTGTTTGCGAAGCAGTGGTTAGACATTGGAAATAGTAAAGTTGCAGTCACCTCGACTGGATTCATCACATTACCCACAGATTTCAGTCACATCGCATAATCAAAAGAGGAGCTTATTCAGCGTGTTTTTTTTTCAGGTATAGCGCAACAGTTCAATAATAACAATTGGCTGGGTAAACGAGTGGGAGGCAAAATAAATACGTTGAGGATCTCAATGGGACTATTCAGAATTTTTCTTCCAGGACAGTTGTTTTCTTTCAAATCAGTCGACACCGTTATGAACCAGGACGACGTACTCAACTGTTCCATGGAGTTTCTAAATTCACTGGCATAGCCTGGATTACCACCTCACAATTTGCCGTTAAAAGTAGGATCTGTTGTCATCATGCTGCGAAACATTAATCAACCCCATCTGGTCACTTGTACAAGACTGCCTGCGAAAAAGTTGATTAATAACGTCATTGAGGCTACAATAATATAAAGAAAATGCAAAGCAGAGTATTTCTTGATCCTGTGATTTACCATTCGATTTTAAGCGCTTACAATTTCCAGTACGCCTAGTCTTTGCGGTAACCTTAAATAAATGGGAAGGACAGACTTTAGAAGTTTGTAGATTCAACGGAGAGTCTCCATGTTTCGTCGTCGTGTATTCGCGCGTCGGAAAACAGTCTTCTTTGTTTATTTACGCACCACGTAACAAAACAAAAAATATACTTTATAACAAAGATTTAAATTGGTTAACAGACTGTATAACAACAGTATGTGTCTTTCAATATAAAATTTAAACCTTATAAATAGCCAGTAGTTCAGGAAAACTCTGTTTTGTAAGTAAGAAACGTGAAGTGTCAAAAATAATAATAAAACTTCATGCTTCATTGACAATATGTCTTTTTTTTATTAAGTACAAATTCCTTTTGTTTGTTTTAAAATTATTTTATACAAAATTTTAGATTTTTATCTATCAATTGAGGCAGTACGAAATCTGCGAGTCAACTATTATAATATAATTGGCACATGAATTCATTCGAATACTTGTAAAAACAACTATAACGATGGAACTCATAAATGGGGATTAGAGCTACGGATGCATATGTACCGAGTTCTTAAATTTTTAGCCCCAAAACACATTACGTTTAAAATCATATAAAGAAAAAAGAAGGACGATAGTTTTTGAATTAGATACATATATTATAGATAGACCAAAATGTGGAACGATTTCACTCGCAACCGGAAGTTTTAAGTTATGAGAGTTATGGAAAGTATTGAACCGATGAGCGTAGATAATTTTAAAGGCAATTGCCATAATTTTCGAGTCTTGGGAGTGAAATTCAAGTTTTATAGCTTATTATATAGGGTGAACATGCTTCTCAGAAGGAAACATTGAAGGCCCTATAAAATATATAGCGTGACAAATCTTAAGTACGTAATCTACCTTGCCGGTATTTAAACGAATAAAATCATGAAATAGGCATTAAATTATTAGTTGTTTTTTTTTAATATTGGGACATTCATTGTTCTTGTATGAAAAATTCCAAAATTTTGGTGCGACAAAACGTGGTGTACGTAATGAGATTACGATTGAAAAGTTGTATCTTTCATGATTTGGTTGCGTAATCTTTATTTATTGTGTCGCCGGAAATGCTTTACCATGATTATTTTACTTGTATGAATAAAACGTCCTAATTACACAAATTACAGTATGTTTCGGATCCGTTATAAAAGCTTTTATTACAAATATTATTATTTTACATAATATTATGCGGCAGCATATTTTTTACAAAAATCTGTCATATATCCCATTGTCGTTCTTGTTTCCAAGTTATTATCGTCGTTTTGTTCTTAAATTCGTTTTCTTGAAATGTATCGAAACGCCAAAGAAAACTTTAGATAATGTTAAATAAAAATTATAAAGTATAGTAACACCCAAAGAGCCATTGTATGAATGAATGAATGTATCTTACGTTTTGCAGAAAATATTTCACCCATTTTGTGAATTAAATTATACTAAGACAATAATCGACCCTATTTCCGTTATAGTTTTTAAGTTTTAGGAGTTGTTATCGCTGTTTCTTTCCTCAATTTGAATTCTTGAAATCACCATCAAAATTTTAATTTAAAATTAAACAAGTTTGGCGACGCTTAATAGCGCCATTATACTTTACGTAGTTATATGTTGTTTTGTGAATTTAAGTACAATAACAATAATCAGGTGTTGTGGAATCCAAGACAGAATTGCTTAGCTGTCAGAATTGCACTACCTCAGGGTAGCGTGCTAGGCCCAACTCTGTACATAATATATACAGCAGATTTTCCAACAGCTACTAACGTATTGACATCAATTTTCGCGGATGACACAGCTCTAGTAAGCCGTAACAAATGCCTCATCAGAGCATCAAGAGTATTAGAGCAGCACTTAACTTTGATCGAATGGCTAGCCAACTGGCGAATAAATATTAATGAGTAAAAATGCAAGCATGTTACATTCCCGCTAAGACCAGAAATAAACAATGTCTTAGTACCCCAAGTGAATGAAGTAACTTATTTTGTGATTCACCTGGATTGAAGGTTCACGTGGATCTGGATGTATGGCACTCAACTGTGGGGTATGAAATGTGCAACCAACATTTATATAATACAAAGGTTCCAATTTAAAATACTTCCAATCAAAAATGCAATCACGGTTGCACCATGGTATATGCGTAGTGAAAACATTCATAAAGATCTTTATATTCCTATGGTAAAGACGAAGATAGAGAACAGCAGAATGAGACATATCTCTAAACTTCACGAACCCATTAGCTAATGCCTTGTCAAATTCCTATAATCAAACACGTTTAAAAAGAAGTTACCGACCAGCCTACTAGAGAGCAACGTTCTACCAAAATAGCTCAACCACATTCTTGAGCTTCTTTAGTTTTAAATAGATTTAAGATTTGAATACTTAGTGTTAGGCTTTACCAAGTAGATCCAATGAATACATAAATATTGAAAAAATAATAATATATACATATATATGTGTGTGTGTTTAACACCTTCATTGATATAAAAGTACAAATTTACAAATGTTATTTAATAATAATTAATTTTAATATAATTTTTATCCAATTCTGACACTAAAATTACCAAATTTCAATATTCACTTCAAATAAACGCGCTCGTTTCTATATCGCCCTCAATTATTACAACACCAAACAACGACTGTTTCTATATCGTTACTATACTCATTTCAATTTATTTTCGTGAAATGTCGATAACGCCGAAAGGAAACGTACTTTGCCTCCATCAACTTCAACCCAATATCAAACATTTTTGCAATAGTCATAACCGATTATACGTACAAATTAGAAAAAAATAATAACTACACATATCCAACATTTGCTTATAATTAGAAACTGTTAGACAAAAGTTAAAAATCATAGACATGTGCTTTAGTTTTATCTCACCAGAATTTTTGGTGTTTTTCACATTTGAATTTTCATCTTTTTTTACTAAGTTAATTTATTTAATTTTATTAATTATTAATGGCCTAGTGATAAAAATAAAGAACATTTCATTTAATGACTAATTTATTATGTTGTTAATGTAAATACCGACAAGGTATATTCCGTGCTTTAGTTTTATGGCACACTTTTTGTATATAAACGAATGACTCAGTTTTTGAGGTATCGCTCTATAATTTTCCGTACCTTAAAAGATTGATGTGGACTTTTACTTTCGACACATTTAATATATGGACTCAACAATTTTTTAATTGTCGGTAATTGTGAATGTTTAAAAAAGTGAAAGTAAAGATTTTTTAGTAGAAAGTCTTCTTCCATACGAACTAAAAAAATCATAAACAAATGTTGGATTTCGTATGTAAACTTTGAATTGGCCCAATAGATGAAGCGTCAAATCGGTTTTTAACTGCAAGGTGTAGAATAACATCTAAAGAGTGACTGCGTCTAATTAGATCGAAATGAGAACTCGAACTGTACGAAGACGGCAAACTCCTTAGAATAATAGGGCACCGGGAACCGAAAGAAAAACAACTTTGACTTTTAAATTGCATCAAATACGTTTTATACAACTCTTCGTCAAATAAAAAACACTTTCTAAGCAAGAGAGAAAACATAAAATTTTCTGACTGCCTAGATTTCTTTGTCCGCTACTATTTATAACTGATAGTATAGATAAATATAGTCCAATATATAATTTTGATCAAGAGATAAAATTGTAAATAAATATAGCATATTTAGGCAAAAGTGGAAGACATAATTTTTGCTGAATAAAATCAAACAATAATACAAAAAATAAATAAAAGTATAAATAATTTTATAAAAAATGTTAATTGTTTTCGCATTCAGATCATTAGAAAGTGAAAAAGAACAAAAAATATTAAGAAATGATAATATAGTAAACGAAGAGTGAATTAATATTTGTTATATGGTTAATATACGATTGAAAAATTAAAAATAACTAATTATAGCAATAACCTTAAAAAGTACCTCTGGAGATTGCAGATAACTTTGCTTAAAGTTCAAAGATTTGGTTTGAATACAAAATAAGCATGCAAAATAAAGAAACCACAAAAGTAAATATGAATGGCAACTAAAAAGTTGATGAACATATACAACTTGATGATGTTATTCCGAATAAAGGAAAAAGCCGTGTGGAAAAAAAAAATTAAAGGCTCATATAAGGTGATGAAACAAAAAGGAAAAAACTGCATCCCATTAAAAAAATTACCTCATCATTATCAGCATCTTCTTTAAAATGTCTTGAGCGCCGTTTTTCGCCGCTGGTGAGCAGTTGTGCAACTTTGGTTTGTTTAGCTAAATCTAATGCTTCTTTTTTACTACGCAACGCACAGTCCTCCAATGTTTCGGCTGCCTCGAACATACCCTGTCGCCGGTACAGGGCGCCGAGATTCTTTAATGTTGTCGTAACAGTTGGTGTATCGACTTTCGCCGCCTTATGCCAGCCACCGTATTCGCCGTATGGTGTATTATAACAATCATCATATTTATGTTCTTCTCGCTCCTCAGCAACCTAGCCAGAAACGATTTCAAAGGTATTGCAATACAAGACCACACAATATGTATAACTTATTATTCATAACTCACAATAGTAAAGTCAATCAAAAATATATAAATATGTATGACTACTGAAAATAAGCAGTTGTCTCATATATACATATGCATTATACATATATATAGGTAGATAAGTATATAAATGTTATTCAAATATACGCCGTTAAGCGGAAACACGACTTTTTCCTTGTTTTTGGTTTATTTCTTTGTTCGTTTCGTTTGCAAAGCGCTGCTAAAGCTTTTTTGCTGCCTATTACATATTGGCTAAATAACCACAATTGATACTTACCTGCCAAATTGGCTTATTTTTGCTGTGAATGGCACCAAACTCACGTTCGTGTGCACGATTTAAGACTTGCTTATAGAGGACTTCGGCTTCTGTATATTTGCCCTGTTTCAGATAACAACTGGCCAGGTTGTTTTTGGTTTTAGCGACATTCGAATCGTCTGGACCGAGTTTCGATTCATATATTTCTAATGCACGTTGGTAATACTTTTCAACTTCATCGTATTTTCCCTGATTTTGACACAACAATGCCAAATTGTTCAATTGCTTCGCCACATCGGGATGATCTTTACCGAGCACCTTTTCGCGTATTTCCAGTGCACGCTTACAAAGTGGTTCGGCATCTTTATATTTGCCACGTTTACCATACAAAACGGCTAAATTGTTTAATGTGGCCGCTACGGCTGGATGATTTTCACCTAGTGTTTTGCCCCGAATAGACAACGCATCGTTCAGCAGATTGGCTGCCTCTTTATATTTGTTCTAAAGGTTAATTAAAGTTAAGAAAATTAGTTCATCAAAATCTCATATATGTATGAATTTCTCACCTGATCGCGATAGACTAAGGCAAGAATATTTAACATCGTGGCAACATCGGGATGATCGTGGCCACTAGTTTTCTCCAAATCTTCGAGTGCTTGTTTGCAAAGAGGAACTGCCACTTCGTATCTAATTATAAAAAGTTAGGTTTAACAAAATAAAAAATAAATTTAGCGTACCGTTAAAAAGTTTTAATTTTCTTAATAAACATTAAACGTCATGGTCAAAAAAAAAGCATACTTTTAAAATTAATTATTCAAATCCGCTTTTTAGTTTTATCAAATAAGCCGTTATCTCGCTTACTTTTTTTATTGTTATTCTAATCAATGTAACGAATTTTGCTTGGTTAAAGAAATAGCACACATTTGGTTATTTCTAAAAATATTCGTAAAACAACGGAACATGCTATAACAGTTAACATGAAAGAACTATCATCGAAAAAATACAACCTAATCCTTTTAAATCTTACCGAAAAATTATGGCATAAATTTTTAATTAACTCATCCAGTAAACTAGTACGAAGGCGTCTCAATTAAACCATTGCTGTCTAAAAGAAACATAAGATCATGGCTGAACTTTGCCAAAGAACACTTACAAATGGACGTCAAATTTTGGAAGAGTATTTTAGAGCTCCCTAAGTACACCACAATACCCTTAAGCACGGCGGTGCTAGCGTAATGATCTGGGAAGCGTTTTCCCGGTAAGTTCTGAAATTATTCAAAAATTCTGAAAATCTTTGGATTGGCATCAAGAAGGCGTAATACGCGATTCCATAAAATAGGTGCCAGAAGTTAGTTTGAGTTGGACTCGACGATGCCAAACAATTTTGAAAAATTGTTGGCACACTTAAAAAACTTCTAATAACTTTTCTTAATTTCCGCAGAAGCTGTCTACTGTGCTATTTCTATGTCCAGAACAAAATACGCAATTGGAAACTCAATTTTTTTAAAAACGACCCCTTGAAAAAATCTCTCTATTCCTCAATTTACGGTATACTAAATTGGTTTTCTCTTTATATTAATAATACTATGTATATTATTTAAACCACTTTTATTTTCCAAGACAATTTTTCTAGTAAATAAATAAATATGGCTCAAACAAATGCAAAAACAGAGTTACAAATGATGCATTAAAACAAATACTTTTTTATATTAATTATTTTTTCTCCAAATACTTGAACAAACATTTTTATTAATTTTTCTATTCCCAATACTGGGTTGAGAATTAAAAAAAATAAAAAATTAATCAAGAATGTCCGAATTAAAATAAAATATTTTAATCCCAAAAATCGTGAAATTAATAATTAAAAATTTATTTTTAATTTACGTATTGGATTGAAAAAAATTTAATCCTCAAGTTATAATTAAACATTAAAAAAATAAATTGGTTTAGACATATGGGGCATATGAAATTGTGTTTTGATACCAAAAAGCCGGCAAATACTTGTAATATAAAAATTTATGGAATTATCCTTTTGTTCAGCATGCCTATATGCTCTCTTACCTACACTCACATTACTCATTTATTGTCCTCACAATATTAATTTTATTTTGAACTCAATGAACCCGCAGCCACATACAAAAATATGCACGTACATATTATACTATATTTGTATTGAAACGCATACACACCTGCCTTGCGAAGCATATTGAATCACCAAATTATGCAAAGTACGTAGACGTGCTGGTATCTCATAACCAGCAGTCGAATTAGCAAATTGACTTGGCGGCGTTGGCGACATATTGTTTCGCTCATCATTTTCTTCATCAGGAAAAAGTTCGACGACTGGATCGGTGCGGGATTTTTCACATGAATCCTCTTGCTCCTGATTATCATCGTATTTTTTAACAGATGCCATAAATTCGAGATGTTTTTTCTCTTCTTCCAATTGTGCTACCAATTGTTCGGAGGCTTGGAATTTTTGCTGTGTATTGGCTAGCTCATCGCGTAGCCACGCATTTTCTTGATGTAATCGGCGTACTTGTGTTTTTAATTTTTGTTTTTCGGCCTCGATATTTTGCAAATGTGAGGCTAGTGCCATCATCACTTGGGCCTCAGATAAACCCAATTCAATATGTTCAATATTTTTTCTAACTATATCGGATTTTTCATTTTCTCGATGAGTTTCGCCCATACCAGACATCAAGGAGACGTGTTCTACACGCAAGGCCTCGAGACCTTGCAGCACTGTTTTTGTATTGCTAATAATTTCGTCTTGTGTCATTTGAGTCATCTTGCCAATGCTTTCGATTTTTCGTCTGAAAATGAGCAGATTTGAAACATATATATTAAAATTTAATCAATCATGGCAGTTGTATGAGCGTATTTGTATGTGCATATTGGAAAATACTACAACTCGAATTTTCAGTATATGTATGTATATATATATATCGTCAAGACCCCAATCTTTAAAATAAACTAAACGTAGATACATGATTAAATTATGTTATGTTTGATAACAGTAAATTAATAGTACTTACATTCTATATGTTCTTATTGCCTTAGATGCTATCATTTTGTAAAAAAAATATTTTTTTCAGTAGCCAAAATCCTTCTACGTCCGTAAACGCGTACATTTCCACTCTCTCTGTGTGTACAGATGTCCAAAAATCAATAATCTGCATAGCATATTTATGAATGGTCTGCGCAAGCGCACGAAAAATTACGTCATTTTCAACCCCAAAACACAATATAGACTCCAAACGTTACCATACACAAAACAAATATTAACTAAAGAACATGAAATCAAAAACTATACGAAACTTGTTAGCAAATATCGCTATAATAATGAACTGAATAAATTACGAAATCAATAAAATTACTATAAATTTTAAATAAATAGTGTATAAATGAAATACCGCCGGTAAGAGTATGTCAGTGGATTGCAATAATGTCAAATTAGTTGCAATACCCATCAGAAATACATATAAAATAAATGATTAAATTTTTACCATAATAAATTAGGTATACATGAAATAACTTTGTTTATCACTTCAAAATTTATTAAACATTATTAAATGTCTCAGTAATATAAAATTAGAAAGCAATACTAACACACTCATTCATATTGTAATAAAATCAGTTATTTTGTCAAAAATTGATTATGGTTTCCCAATATTTTGTAAAATTTCTAAAGTAAATTTGGCAAAAATAACGTCCGTGTACCACATTGCCCCCGACTGTCGTGGGATTGGAAAACTCTCTACACTGATGGTTCTAAGCACAATAATATCGTTGACTATACAACAATTGTTTGCTATACTATCTCTTTCGCCTCAATTTTTACAGCAGAATCGACTGCCATCCTTTACGCTTGAAAGATAGCAACGAAGAGTAGAGACAAGCATTTTATCTTCAGTGACTCCTTATCAAGCTATCCTTAACGTAAATTTTAGAATAGCATCCCCGGATTTCGGGATGAAAATGGGTATGTACGGATAGAGGAGGTCCTCTAGATTAAAAAATATATATAGTTGCCGCTGATTAATGGTCTTTGAGATATTTGCATTTAAAGTTCAAAAATTCAACTATTTAAAATGCGTGTTTCTTCGATTTATACTGCTTTTTACACTTATATTTTATACTTTTACATCCACTAACACTACTCTATTTCGTTTCTAATCAATTATTTTTTATTGAATAGTGCGAAAATAACTTTAATTCCATATCAAACTTTATTTAAAATCCATTTATAAACTGGAGAACCTCCTCTATGCGTACATACACATTTTAACCCCGAAATCCGGGAATGCTACTCTAAATCGCAGCTTAAATTTTTCTGACCAAACGATTTGCAAATTAAACTCTCATGGATACCCAGTCATATCGGCTTACAAGGGAACACTCTAGCAGACTTCGAAGCAAAATTAGCAACTACATCTCCCTTAAAACTTATAAATAGCATTAACAAAAATGACACCAGAAATATATCTGGGCCAGATATTCCCACTACTACGAAAACATAAATCCCTATCGATGTCCTCCAATCTTTCCTATAACATTTAGATTTATTTAATAAGTTATTAAGCTGATGGCCTTAGTCGCTAATGCTGATACTTTTTATATTGTTTAGGTTTAATTGTAGTATCCTTTTTCATTAATAACAATAATAATAAATCGTTGAAATTAATTTGAATTTGTTTTCTTTTTAAAGGATATTCAAATTGGAAAACAAGCATTCTTGCTTTCTACAATAGCTGGTCCCAAATTGAGACTTTACTTCAAAATGTCTGAAATAGTGACTAAAGACTCCTTACAAAAATAGCGCTAGTAATCAGCTCTCTGTTACATACATTTTGGTTTGGTAGACAAACAACAAAATTGCATTTAAAAAATCTGCACAAATCTTAATATGAAATAGCTTGGTTCTGAACTTCTAAATGAATATTGTATCTAATTTTCGTGTTTTTTTATTTAAAATTAATTTTATTCTGTATTCTTATTTATTCGAAATATTGAACGAAATAGATCTACTGTAGATGCAAAAATTTTTCCTCGTAAGTAAAATAAATATTATAAGGTACATTTTTTATATCATAACCTGATTTTGTAAAAATTTGATTATAGTTAATAAATATGGGGAAAATACAACGTTTAAGTACTTCAGAACGTATTGCAATTGTTCCTTCACATAAAAAAGATTAGTAGTACTCACCGATTCAAACGGGGTTAAATCGCCGAAAAAACAGCCCTTGGTCGGATAAAATCCGAGTCAATACCGGTGCGTAGAACCGGCTGTTGTGGGAATTGTTACAAAAAAAATTTTTCTTATTTTTTTTTTTACATAAAAAAGATGAAACTACACGCTCAATAGCAAAAACTTTGCAAAAGAAACTTTTATTCAATATTTAACTATTGTTCAATTATTTTTGTTCACACAATAACAAAAGTTTTTCATTCTAACTATCAGTTAATATACAGTGCTACCTTACGTTTATATTTCACAGAAGATAAATAACACACTAGTTTTTCGCATAGAATTCCTTAAGTGATGCTCACTACGAGTGTAAAAGCTAATTATTAAAATATAAATGTCTTACTTATAAAACCTGCAAACAAGCAAATTGTGAATTTGTTTAAATGTTTACAGTTTAATTAAATGAACCCCATAAAGTGGGTTAAATGTAGTGATATATCTTGTTGAAATGTTCCAATTTTGGGAATTTTTGAACTTTAAAGTCGAATATCTCGTAATATAATCAGAAGGACTTCCTCTTTCCAACGGTACCTTCAGATCGCGGCGCCAAGGAAATCAGAATTGTACCCCTTCCGCCCATACCCATTTTATCCTCGAAATCCATAGACAATATTCTAAAGTTTTCTCTAAAATTTAAAATTTTGAACTTTTGCACGTTTTTTACTTCTGACCCAAAAACGTATAGGACATACGAAGGTATTGGACAACATATGGTCTATTATTTAAATTACATTTTAGGGAGTCCGTTTATGGTATATACGATAAAAAGGAAAGAATGAAATACACTGAAAGAGCTTGCTGGTACACTTTCACAGGAATTAAATCTATAACTAGATAGATAAATCTATAACTAAGAAGATATTAGTTTTAATAGTATAACCAAGTACTTATGTGCATACGAGTGAAAACATATGTATGTACGGATTGATTAATATGCTATAAACATATGTGTACATATCTAACTTGCAACACACTTTTCTATCATATTATGTATATGTATATACACTTAAACTGTTGGTATTTGCTAACGACACTTTGTTAAAAATACGTACATTACTTCACTAATGACTCATTTAATTTTGTTAATTCATTTTCTCTATTCCAAATGAGCTAATTGCTGCTATCATAGATAAAGCAGAAACAAACTAACACCAAATATTTATAGGTTTCATAAATTTTTACCTGCAGCAAGAGTCGAATGATATCTAAGAGTCGATCAACAGTGGAAAACTCGACTTTTTTGATCGTTTGATGCAGAATTATTTATTTGCGCTGAAAAAAACTTAGACGGTCCAAAAAAGTTTCGACCGAAATCTATGGAACGAACAAAATACTTGACTGCACCTAAAATAATTCGAATATCACAGTAACGAGTAATGATAATACTTAATCTGAATACAGGCTGCCATATATTCAAAATTTTTATAGCAAATACTAACGTCGATTTCAATAAATTATTACAAGAATAATTAAATTAACTCTAAAATCGTTTTTCTTATAAGTAGATAAGATCCTCTAATTATGTTTATTTTTTTATTCGTTAATATAGAAAGTTTTGATTGAAAATTGTAAAAAGCAAAATTACAATTATTTTATTCTGACTTTATTGGCAAAGTTAAAACTCTTGTCTTCCTGTTATGTTTCGTATTTCCAAGACCTGTCTTTGCAACATGACAACAAAAGCAAAGTAATTATTTAGTATTGCCGGTTTGAGAGAAGCGTTTCTAAAGATGAAGTTGGTTAGGTAAATAACATTACTTTTAGTAATTCAAATCATTATAATTTTTTATATTATTTAAAAAAAAAAACACAAAGGGAATAAATTCTCATTAGAATGTTTAAATGATTAGGGTGCTTAGACTACGGCGGGAATTACTATGAGAGTTGGAACACGATGCATTTCGCGTATATAATTATTAGCACGTTTCAAATGTTTATTAGGAAATATACAATGGTTAATGAAATTTTCATTATATATATATTAAAATAATATATATGGATGATATGCACTATTGTAAAATAAAGTAATACTTGTGGGATGTACTGATATAATCCGTCATTGTTTCTTTTTTTGTAAAATCACATTTAGAAACGGTTTGAACTAATTTTGAAAATTAATTTTAGTTTTTGGATCTTATTGTTTAATAATTTAATTATTTTTTCAGATTTCTTATGAAACTAAGTCACGAAACGGTGACAATCGAATTAAAAAATGGAACTCAAATTCATGGTACAATTACAGGAGTAGATGTAGCGATGAACACTCATTTAAAGTCTGTTAAAATGACCATAAAAAACAGGGACCCAGTTCAATTGGAATCCTTAAGTATTCGCGGTAACAACATACGATACTTCATACTACCAGACAGCTTACCGTTAGAAACACTGCTCATTGATGATACACCTAAATCAAAAACAAAGAAAAAAGACAGCAGTCGTGGAGGTAATCGCGGCAGAGGACGTGGAGCACGCGGGCGTGGTGGACCTCGAGGTCGGGGTCGTGGACGGGCAGTTGGTAGACGTTAAGATTTTAAAATACTGAAATTAAATAAAACTTCAAGGATAAAACATGGAAATTTATATTTTTTATTCGCAATGTATATATACCCAGCAGTACATTTGCATACATTGATGTTGAATATTATTTTAATACCAAGCATAAAACAGTCTGTACATAGTGAATACTATCAATATAATAAATATTAGAATGGTAATTATGCCTATCTGTTTGGATCTGTCTTTGTGCAAGGTTTTAACGTTTTGTTTATGTTTCTCGACTTCAGCTTTCATCACTAATATTTCATCTTCTAACACAGCAACTATTGTTTGGTCAATATTGGGATTGTCCAATGCATCTTCAAGTCCACGAATTTTATTTCCTAAATATAGCAAATCGTGTTCAACGCTATCAACCTTAAACATTTATTTAAGTTAAGTGACATGTAAAAGTTGATATATTTATACATACTTGATCTTTTAAGCTGCAATTTCGTGGGTATTGGAAAGGTTGGTGACGAAATACCATATTTAAAATTCCGTTTTAGCTCCAAAATAAGTAATTCGAATAAGAAATTCAATGTATTATATATAAAGCTGGTATAATAAAATTATTTATTTTTTTCTTAATGGTTTTAAAATTTACTTTTAATAACAATAATACTTTTACCGAATTTTGACAGTAGTGTTTATTTGTTTACATATTCTATTTTTTCTCAACTAGTAAAACCAGTAATAACTAATACGCAGATCGTCAACGTCACTATTTAGCTAAAAAATCCATTAATGCATTTCTCAACAAGACTTACTGTTTCTATTCAATAATAAATAAACACACACCTGTTAATTTAAAAAAAAAATTTATTTTTAATATAACTATAAAAAAATTTTGGACATATATACATTTATAGAAAGTATAATTATATATTGGTATTCAATTTACTTATGGTAAAACAAATTGCTACGTTTTTGACTACATTGGAAAATTATGTCATTACATTTAATTTAATATTTGTTTACTCTATTGGCAGCGATTTCGTTATTATTCGGAAGAAAGATTAGCTTCCCTTAATAGCGTTTTATGTTTAAAAAAACATTTGCAGTGGCGTACAAAATTCGAGAGCATGCATAAATGTTCCCTAGAGCGCATCCCAGTAAAGCTCCAACCACATTTGGTATGGGATATGTTTGCCAATCGCGATCCCAGTCTAATGGAGCAACGACCGACCCGGCCCAAGCACCCATTATAGCGCCTATAGCATTGTATTTGAATAACTCAAGTGCAGTGTTTTCACTTTTTGTTATGAAATCTGGTTTTTCACAGAAACATACTTGTAATGCACCACCACCTCCCAATAGCAAGACTGTAGGTGTTGTTGTTTCTAATGTAAGTAAGAGCGCAAGTACAAAGGTCTGTTCATAGTTCTGCAGTACAGGTGCTCCTAATATAATACATATAAACGCATAAAGAACCGTACATAAAAACTGTAAAAGCAATCCTCCACATATTTCACGTATTGAAAAGAAGGAAGCCCTCTTTTGACGTTGCTTTTGGGTTAACGAATTATCATCAGAGTGACTATAATATCTTGCAAGTAGTACCTTGAGCAATTCGCTGGAGAAAACAATAGGCACCACTAAGGACTTCCAAATGCTACCCACGTTTGTCCAGTTTCGTTGGAACTGCAAATACGTCATACAAATTAGTACCGTAGCCAAACTAATGGACAAGTGGAAAAGCTGATGTTTTGTTTTTTGTTGATCAAATTTAGGTGCCATTTTTCACACAAAAGTAATAATATTATCAATAGTAAAACACGCTAACACACGCCTTCAAAACTGTTTTGCTCTTAAAATTCATATAAGTTGCCAGACCTTACTAAATACTCTAAACTCTTTTTTTATATTGGGAAAGATGCTGTTGTTTTTGTAATTGTAGATTTTTGGCAGAGAACATTTACAATAGAGAATGTTCACGGCGCGGAGATCGTAAAAATATTTTTGGCTTACTCGGTCGAGATGGAGGAGTTTCACCACAGACAAATTATAAGCGTGTTTCACCACGAAAGTAGCAGAGTTGAGCATTTTCAGTGTTAAATGAGAAAAATAATGCTAATTCCAATGTAAACAAACGCCTAGAGATTCGTTTATTTTCTATGAGCAACCGACTCGGCCACAAGTATATACATATGGATCCGTATATATTTGGTATCAAAGCATATACTTAGTGTATATGTATATATAGATAGATAGATAGTCACATAACTGAGGAATGCACTGCGAATATATGTAGGTCTATTGTGCCCTCTCCTAACTCACAGGGACTCGCTTAGCCCCAGCATATTGAYGAAGTCCAGTATTTTGCTGGGTGCTAGCGAGGCGATGTGRTCCCTATCCGGAAACATGGCTCCAAGGGCCTTCGACCTGCGCCTACAGACTGCAATGCAGTCGATTAGCAGGTGCTCCGGGATTTCAGGGTCCCTGTCGCAAAATCGACAGTTGGCGCAAGATGATAGGCCCATATTAGTTAAGTGCCTTTTCAGCTTGCAGTGGCCGGTATAGAATGTAACCAGGATCTTGAGTTTGTTTCTTGGGAGGTTAATTAACGATTTAAATCTCTTTTGGTTATACCCCCCAACTAGCAGCTTGGCATGACGCATACCGTGCGCTTGCTGCCAATACCTTTCCCTGCACACTCTTTCTTCATTGCGGAGCAGCTCTTTCAGAGTGTGGGGACCCACCGCAATGAATGGTTCGGGCCCAACCATACTGGTGGAGGTTACGGAGCGGGCTAGCTCGTCAGCCAGTTCGTTGCTGGCTATGTCCCTGTGGCCGGGCACCCAGATTAGGTGCACCTGGTTCTTTGCAGCTAGGTTGTTCAATCGTTCTCTGCACTCCTGCACCAAAAGCGATTTGATCTCGTAGGAGGAGATCGCTTTYAGTGCCGCTTGAATATCGCTGAGTATAGCTATATCCTCCTATAGGTGGAGGTTTATCTCTGTACACCGACTTATAGCCAGGACTTCAGCCTGAAAAATACTTGGAAAGCTTCCCATCGGAGAGCTTGGTACGCGGGCCTACAATACCTGCACCTATTCCTTCCGACGTTTTTGAGCCGTCGGTGTACCACTTCAGTGTACCACCTCAGTGTACTATCCCTTAGCATTTGCTCAAGACTGGGGTCGTTCCACTCACTCTTGCTCCCGAGGGTAACCTTAAACCTTTTCGTGAAGTGAGTTGATTTCGTAATCCCGTCCCTTGAGAGGAGGGCAATAGGAATGTCGTCACTTATCCTCTCCATCATCTGGGACGAGATTATCTTGCCTTTGCCGCATCCGTCTGCTGTTATCTGGAGAAGTGAGTGCTTGGCTACTTGACCTATCAGTATATGGAGCGGTGTAAGTTCCAGTAGGACCTCCAGAGCTGCCGTCGGACAGGTTCGCATAGCGCCCGTCATGCAAACACATGCAAACACATGCTAGCCGCTGAAGCTTCGATAGTCGGTTAACCACCGTAGCCTGCGACGTTACAGAGGCCCAGGACACCGCCCCGTATGTAATTTTCGGTCGCACAATCATGGTTTACAACCACCTAACGATCTTTGGCTTACAGCCCCAGGATTTACCCGCCAGCCGTTTGCCCACCATTAACGCTTTTGTAGCCTTGACCAGCGTTTGGTTCACATGCTGCTTCCACCGCAGGGTAGAATCCAGCGTAAAACCCGGGTATTTGACCTTGCAAGTCATCTCGATCACTCTGCCCCCAAGTGTGAGGTTCCTCAAGCCGGGTAGGGACCTGCGCCTTGTGAAAGGGACTACGGTTGTCTTTGAGGGGTTGATGTTTAGTTCCACTCCTCTGCACCACCCCTTTGCCAGATTTAGACCCCGTTGCACTAGGTCACAAAGAGTATCTTCAAATTTGCCCCTTGCTATTATCACAATGTCGTCCGCATACCCTGGGCAGCGGATCCCATTGTCAGTTAACAATGCTAATAGTTCATCCACGACAAAGCTCCATAGTAGAGGTGATAGCACACCTCCTTGTGGACAGCCTCTTGTCGCTCCCAGGCGGATCTTTGTTCCGCCTGCCCTGGTCTCCGCGATCCTGGTGCGCAGCACGGCCTAGATGTATTGCCGAAGTCACCTTCGATGTCTAAGAAGGCGCATAACATCACCTCCCCTTTCTCCAGTGAACTCTCTATCTCCGAGGTCAGCTGGTACAGAGCCGTACTGGTGGATMTTCCCGCTCTGTATGCATGCTGAGCAGCATGCAGGGGTRCACTCTTCAGCGCCGTCGACCTTATATTGTGGTCTATGATCTTTTCCATAGTCTTCAGTAGGAAGGAGGTTAGACTAATCGGCCTGTAGGACTTGGCCAAGGAATAGTCCTTCCTTCCAACTTTGGGTATGAAGATCACCTCAGCCGTTCTCCATGGGTCAGGGATGTACGAGATTGCAAGGCTCTCCCTCAGTAGCCGAACAAGGTGAGGTAGCAAAGGCTGTTCACCCTGCTGAAAAAGCGCTGGGAAGATGCCGTCAACCCCTGGAGACTTGAATTTTTCGAACGAGGCCATTGCCCACTTGATCGAGTCCGCAGTGACTATCTGCCTAGCGGTTGCCCAATCCAAGCGGGATGGCCTATGTTCTCTCACAGGTAGACATTGGTCCACCTGGATGGTCTGCGGGAAGTGAGCACGCAGAAGCTCTGTCGCCCTGTCCTCCGCGCTGGTCGTAAAGGTCCCGTCACTGCTTTGGATGGCTAGCTCCGCGTTAATCTTTCCACTAGCCAGAGCCTTGTGCAGCCGCGCCGCTTCTGGTATGGAGGAGACCTTTTCACAGAAACTCCTAAAGTTCGTTTGTTTTGCCTAATCTCCTTATTGTAGAGGATTAGGTAGCTCCTGTATTCTTCCCAGACCTCTGTTCCTTTTTGTCTTGTTGAATAGGCTACGTACTCTTTTCCTGAGGTCTGCAAGCTTCTTTGTCCACCAGGGACAGTTGCGCCTATCTGTGGGCACTATTAGGGGGCAGCTTCAGTGCCAGCACTCTGCTTTCTATTCCCGGGCCCGTAACGCTATCATCGGTCAGCCTCTCCCTATTTAGTTCATCCTGCAGCATTACCCTGAAGGAACTCCAGTTAGTCCTTCGAGGGTTGCGTCTTGGGGGAAGTTGTCTGACCTCAACCTTCAGTGCGAACTTTACAATTCTGTGGTCCGACAGGGAGGGCTACTTTGAGACCCTCCACCTTGAGACCCAACCATTTGCGTGCTCGTTGCTGAAGGTGATGTCCAGCACCTCCCTCCWGCTTATAGTTATAAAGGTGGGTTCGCAACCCACATTTTCAATAGCTAAGTTACTACCTAGTACATATTCTAATAGAGACTCACCCCTTGTGTTGCAGTCCGTGCTTCCCTACACAACATGGTGAGCGTTCGCGTCGCATATGTATATATACTTAGAATATATATATATATATAAAATTCCACAAGCGACCTCGCTTCATTCATAAAAACAGACGCAGTAACATCTCCCCGAGCATGCCTTTGCCAACAAGCGTCTTTTCACGACGATGGCGAAAACCTAAAAATTATAAATTGAACATCTTTCTGGTGATTGTTCTAAGTGAGAAAAGTGGCAACATAGCTGTTGTCGATTTACAATATTTGTCAATTGTAAAATATTTTTCCGTGGCTCGCAAAAATCAGAGTCGATATGTATGCAAGCTCAGACATATGTATACATATTTACGCTAGTTTGTGGGCGAAGCTGTTACTGCGGCAAGGGAAGCGGTAACAATCGGCGATCGTTTGTTATAGCAGGAACAGTCAAAAACGCTACTGCCTTCCTCCCTTTTCCTTCCTCATTATCAAAATGTGTGCCCAGTGAAAAACGTGGCAAAAACGCAGAATTCAGCCATCTTTGTTTGTTTTCATTTGCACAATGTTGCCATTGCTCAATACGCATATATAGTTTTATACACATCTATGTTTTCAATTACAATTTTTTATAATATAAAATATCAAAACTGAAAACAAACTTTTAAAAATAGTTTATATATTTATAAATAATAGCATTCGACTTAAATTTTGAGTTATTTTAAGAAAATTTCAAACATATTGAACAGATTGAATTATAAAAGTTGATAATTACTACAGTATATAGATATTGGCAACCCTGGGTTGTGAGAGAGCAATCAGCTGACACGTTTAGACGGCACAAACCAAAATGCTGTAGATTCTCACGTCATCCGACGGCAAAGAGAGAAGGGAGTAGCGTTTTTCACTGGGCACTTACATTGCGCGCCCATAAGATAGGTCGAATCAGCTGACACGACCCCCGATTCTGCGTTTTTGACTGTTTCTGCTATTAGTTTCTTTCGGCACAGCTCGGAATTTCTATCAACAACACAACGTTGTGATGACTCTTTGACATTACGAGAGCTTCGGCCATTGGTTGACCATGACAACGGAGATGCGAAAGATGCGTGCGGCACTTGTTATTATGAATGTATGTACATATGTATGWGGCTCGCATTTGCTTTCGTAAACATACAGACAAATGTGCSAAAGAAATAATATATGTATACATATGTATGGCAAAGAAATTCTATTGCTACAAATATAGAAATGATAACGAAATAATGTGAATATGCATATTTCATGAAGGTAATCAATTTTCTTTGAAGAAATGAAGTTCATTTGGCACATCTTCACTTTGTAATAGTCGAAATATATATAATTTATTTGAARTATTAATTTATTTGAAAATTAAAATTAAAAAATTAATAAATTTTATATAGTTTTTCCCGATTTTGTAAAAAAAAAAATAAAATTTGTATAATTTTTCGGAAAAAAATG